CAACAACAACATATATGGGCCGCATGTACCTTTAGATCCTGGTGATTTCAATCAAGCAAGAGAGAATTATTACATCTCTAGAAATAATGTATAGTTACTATTGGGCCGCATGTACCTTTAGATCACAGGCAAATCTAGTGCTGTAACGAAGAACACCCTTTATGTTGTCGTTTGCCTTAGCAATAGCAATCTCATAATCATCGGCTGCTTTCAGTTTCGCTAGACCATATTCTTTCAATTTTTAAGACACCTTCTCATAGACATCTTTGTGCATCCAGTGCAAGATTACAATACTTAAGAAAACTCTGAGACAGAGAAACAATTAATTGTTTAGTTTGAAAAAGAAAAAAAAAAAATCACTTAATCCGGTCACTTTTTCTATTAAGGAAGTTAAATGAATAAACACCTGAGAGCAGGACCAACTTCATTATTTTCAATTCGTTTCTTGTAACATTCTAGCCCGGGATCTCCAATTATCTCGTTAATTGTAGCCAATATATCTCGAACCTTTGCTCGTTGCCCATATTCAGATACAAAACAACGAGCTTCAGTGTCCTAAAAAAAAGAACAAAAAAAGATTAATGAAGGAAATGAAGGAAAAAAAATTAAAATAAAATACACGAACTACTTCCCAAGTAACATTAATTAAAATAGATTGATATATATATATACCGTCTTAATTCTCTCAAAAAGCAGATGAATGAAGTGGGAATCCTCGAGAATTTCGTGTGCTAGATCACATTGTCCGGATCATAGTTGAGAAGGAATTCCATACATTGTTGTGCTTTTTCACGAAGGCACAAATCTTTCTCTAAGTCATCGGCCAACTCTTCAATGGTTGGTTCCTAAGTAAAGTAAATTAAAACAAATAACATATTGGTTGGCTATCCATCTGCTAAAATCTAAACTGTGCGTGCTTTACCTGATACTGACATATAAAACACAAATGCTGCTACTCTATTTATTGAGTCGATCGTGATTTTAAGGTGATTAAGAGCTTACTCACGATTTTTATCATTCAAAAATCGACAGAGATTAAAAAGAGGGCAGAGATTGAATAGTTACGTACTTCTTCGAGTTTCTGAATAGGACTGCCATACTTCATCAACCACTCATTATGTTCCTGAAGTTTCATTAAAACAAGAAAGACAAACAGAATGAAAATATCAAACTAGAAATAAAAGGAAGGTATAACTAAGCGAAGCTGGTATAGTCTAGAGTATGTATACCTCTCTTTCCATCATAAGTTTCTCGTCATATAAAACACCACCGACATTGTCTTCTCCGACATCACATTCATCATCTTCACATATTTCTTTTTCAACGGGCAGCTTCTTATAACTCCAATACCCGATTACAACGAGCACGAGTCCCCTTTACAGAGAGAACAAAATTAAAGGAAGAAGAGAACTAAAATCGTTAATGGCTCTTTTTAAAAAAAAATTAAAAACCTTATCATTGTAGCAGGAGGAGTGTTTGGGCCAATCTCCAGAATACGCCTCAATTTGAGGTCCCCTTTCATACTACACATCCGTTGTTCAATTTTTTGAGATGTGACTCCATTGGAAAGCTCTTCTATGACGGAGGGCAGAACACAAGCCTATAAATAAAAGTGAAAAATAAAAGAAAGAAAAAATCGAGTTTGTTCCAAGATGATGAGGCAATTTTAATGGATAGCAAAATAAAATTAATACCGGTTGGTGAATTATTTCATTAATCCCGTTCCTGAAATGTCTATTCCGCCATGTTTTCAGCACAAGAGAAAAATGCTTGAGTGCATCATCGTTGAGAGTGCCATCCTCAAGCACTTTAGAATCTCGGAGTGCCTCCAAAAGCTGTTGCGCCGTCTTAACAAGCGGTTGATTTTCAGACAAACGATCACACAAACCGCCGATAATTGGATCCTACACAAGTTTTGTGTATGAGATTTTGTAACCTAATTAATAACTTAAAATAGGAAAACAGAAAACAGGGGATTGAAGAAAACAAGCAGGTGACTATAGCAAACTTACGGAAATGAATGTGATTGCGATAGGATGGTCGATTATTCCTATTCCTGCCATCGATGGTCGCTTTGCTGCAGCTTGAGTTAAGGGGTGAAATAGCAGCTTATTGTAATCATTATCATCTTTTGAAGCAGAGATTATATATATGTAATACTTTTGACCTATTCCTAATGATGATAGAAAAGAGCTTTCCTTAACTATCAAAGTTTTTTCTTGCTAGACAAACAAACAAAAAAATTAAATAAGAGTTTTTCTATTCTCAATTAATTAGTTAATTCTTATGTATTTATTATCTAATATATATAATTTATATTAGTACGTAGCTCATGCGATGCACGGAGTAATAATGACACATCATATAAATTATAACAATAGAGAAATATTGATTTATATAAAAATAGTTTTGAATATTCACATAAATATCTTTTCTTTTATTTTTATAATTTATAGCAGTTTAATATATAATTTATATGTTTATTTCACCCGTCATAAAATATATATCATGTTAGACTTTCTGTTTAAAACTAAGAAACGTGAAAATTTAACATATACAATTATTTCAATAAATAATATTCACAAAAATACATCTCTCTCTCTCTCTCACTCTTCTTGCACTTATACTTTATTACAATATATTATTTTGATTTTTAAATAGTCACATAAATTAAAAAAATTATAGCAAATATTACAAACCATCACTTAATTTAAAAAGAACGTAGTGTATATTATTTTAAAGTTATATTGTGTTATTTTTTTTAGTTTGTAATAATTTAAGTTATAAACATTATTAATGTTCTTTCTAATATAATAATTCACATGAAAGTTCGATAGCGAAAAGCACCAACAATTGGTGCTTAGTTTTGTTGTTGTTGTTACCTCTCAAACTCTTTTATTATAATAAAGAGATTTAATCTCATTTAAGAGTCTAATGTGAGATATGACTCTTGACCCTTCGAATCCCACAATCATTGCTTACGTGTTCATTCATGACTAACTTTAACTATTTATTTTTCACTCACACAAAATCAGTTTTGAGAAAAATAAATAAATTACGAGTATTTACTCGGAAAGTCAATTTTTTTTACACAATTTAATTCAACCTAAATTAAAATATTTAGCCATAAATAAATTAGTCAAAATCGGGCCAGACCCAAGTTTTTCATAACTAATTTTCCGACACCTAAATCATTGGATAAGGTAATGAAATGTGATATAAGATATACTACCGGCTCGAACCCTTCAAGGGAACTAAGCAACTAAGTGGGGTTAATGAAGCAGCCAGACTCACTTCGTCTCGGAGGACAATAGCCAAACTAACCTTCGACCTGATCTTGGAAGACAAGAGGTCGATTCGACCTCGTTCTATCTAACGGAGGTAGACTGAAGAGGGTCACAATCTACCAAAACGGGAATTCGACCTGATGACGTGGACTAGGTCTCGTGGGAGGACAAAGGGGTTTTTGTCTGGGAAACTACACTATACGGGGATTGGACCACGTGTTGCGGTTATTTTGGATAATCTGCACCCTGACACCTGACATATAAGGCGCTGCAAGTCGTATGTATGGGCATCATGGGCAGATGAGTCAACTATCTGAGCAGACTAGGAGAACAAGACACCGCCTCCCTATATAAAGGGATGTGGTAGGTTAGTTTTGTGGTTATATTCTCTATACACTTATTCATTGTTCACTATCCCGGAGCAATACCGACTTAGGCATCGAAGGCTTTTCACCGAAAAATCTCCTTTCCAGCGTTGAGTTCTTGCAGGTGTGGGAGCTATTCGAGGTCGAACAAGAAGCCGTGGAGGTTGAGGAAGCTATTTCCTTATTGCACTAGTCCGAACCAGGACCGAGTGAAGTCTATTTCACTATTAAAATGAATGAATGTATTTTGAATGGTTATACATATTCTTAAACAATCATAAAGATATGTAAACTTGGGATGAGGTGTAAAATGAAGCGAGTTTAGCTCGAATTTAAGCCTTTATCGAGTCAAATTGAGTTGAGCTTGTTTTAGTAGACAGTTGAATTTGACTCGTTTATTAATATTAACAAAATGAATTTAAATTTTAATGAGTGGAGTTATAAAAATGTAAAAATTCTTATTTTTGAGTTTTAGTGAACTTTAAATAAACTCGAGTCTAAGTCGACGAACGGCTCATTTCTTCACATAGCAAGGTAGATTAAAACAATACCTATTGCCCCATTTACTACACATAAAAACAACACACAGAGCATTGGAAAAGCTAGATTAAAACGATACCTATTGCCCCATTTACTAAACATAAAAACAACATACACAGAGCATTGGAAAAGAAATATTTAATGGAGGTCGTGCTAATTAAATACGAAATAAACAAACAAGCATTATAGAACTTATTCTAACATACATATAGTAAACCATTGCACTTAACTCTTGAGTTTCTAGAAGTTTCAATATCATATAATTGCACATATATTTGACCAACAATTTAATAACTTCATGGCAGTTTAATCAAAACGTATAAGACAGAGCCGGCCCTGAACTTTATAAGGCTCTGGGCGAAATGTGCTAATGTTGCCCTTTGTGTTTTTATTTTTTTAAGTTAATAAAATAAAAAAAAATAATGTAAATCGCAATAATAAAAGCAGAGAAACTTAAAATAAAAATATAGCTAAATTTTATAAATAATTATATTTGATAAAATTCTTAAGAATCGCAATTAAAAAAAGAGAAAATCCTTTTTATCAAAGAAAAAAAAATAAGCAGTCAAAGTTCCAAACTTTCATTTACTTTAAATATATGACTTAAGTTTAGTAAAGTACATAATACTCTGTTATAGTTATATATATTTTTTTATTGGAAAGTATTAATTTTTAATTTATATTTAACAAAGTTAAATAAAAAATAAAAATTGGAACTCGTTTGAAAATGAATTGAATTCACTTAACTCTTTTATTGGCTATCACTAGCATAATTGAATTGTGCAATCATAAAATAGTATTTTGTATATTCAAGCAAGAAGAAAAATTAACAAAGTATTAAAAGAATAAGAGAAAATATGCAAAAAAAATTAATTTCACTAAAAATAACTATTATTTTGTTATGAAATTTAGAAGGTGGATAAAATATAAAAAGCCTTGTTAAGAAATAAAAAAATCATGAATCAAGATCAATTTTATATTCAATATTTTATTATATAATTAATACATATATATATATATATACATATATTAAAAAAATATATAAAAGCGGGATCTGGGGTAAGAGGGGCCCTGGGCAGTCGCCCGACTGCCCTACCCCAGGGCCGGCTCTGGTATACGATCAATTGGAATTAAATAACACAATTTCCACATAAACAAACCGGGTTGATCTTTTTGACTAATTAGTATTCTATTTGGCTTGATAAAGACTCAAGCTCGAATTCGAGCATCGAGAGTTTGTTAAGTTTGATAGAGGAACCAAGTTTGAGCTCGTTTATCGATTCAATTAACTAAGAGCTCAAGTCAATAATTGCTTAAGTTCAAATTTCGAGTATTAATATCTTGAGTTTGGCTCGGTTTTCCTCGTTTACAGTTCTGCGTGGGACATGTAAAGTTTTGAGGTAAAAGTTACATGATCAGATCGTAAATTATTTTTATTCGCATCTTTTACACNTGTATCAGTTTAGTTAATTCTATCACTTGTAACAACTAACAATACCCAATAAATTAAATTACTACTGCCTCATTTAGGTATTGCAATACATTGTGTTCAGTTTCCAACCATTAAAATCAGTAACATTGTCAATTTAAGTGGTGCCTACTGCCTAACTGTTATAATGTCAGGCAAAAAAATTTCTTCAATTTATTATCAACCGACATTGTGGTCTAATAAATTAGCTATCAATGCTAGAAAATGTCCAACGACCTCACTCACCATTCGATTTTGTAGAGTATTTTATTACAGTGGAGTATGAGAAATGAGAATAAAAAACGAAATGAAGAAAGATTTATTTACGTGCATAATTAATCATAAATTTTTATATGAGACAATCTAATCATTAGGTGGATTGACTGTCATTTTTTAAAAAAATACTTACTTCTATTATGATATTTTATACTTTTATTCATTATTTTTCAAATATGACATTACAATTTAAAAATATGAATACTTATTAAAAAACAATTAAACTGATTAACAACACCACCAACTCTTATTCCTATCAATTTCTTGAAATGTGAATAACACTAATTCAAATTTATGAAATAACCAAGAGAATAAACATTTATTGAACAAATTAAAGTCAAATACTAAGGTCTTGGATAACTGTTTTAAGATATTTTTAATTTGTAGCTAAAAAAATTATGTTACTTATATTGACATCGACAATCAAGCGAGAACTTAAAAAAAAAATATATATCAGCTTTCAGTAAATTTTTCAATTATATTCTCCAAATAGACTAAAGCTAATATAAAATTTCAGAAGTCGTTTCACATTAATAATCGTTTCAATGTTAAAAAAAGTCACATGTTTCCTCGGAACATTTCTTTTAACTTCTCATTATTTTTCCATTCAGACACATTTCTCATTATTTCTCCATCCAAATAGTTTATGTGTTGAACCAAATGAGCAAACTTAAGTCAGTGATTATATTAGTTTTTTATTTAAATTTTAAATACTTTTTAACAAAATTGTGTTATTATTTATACTATTAAAATAAATTGCATTATTTTTTATATTTAAAGACATCTTCACTTTTATAATTTAAGTTAGTAAAGTATTTTGTAATTTTAAAAGACCTAATATATATGGATAAAATTTACATGAATTACTCAAAATCACCATAAAATGACATGATTATAAAGTACTAAAAGTTGATATAGGTTTGGAAAACTTATCATTTATATAAAAAGGAATTAGAGTAGACTCCATTATAAGGCTTAAATTTTTAAAATTGCGTCAAATTTAGGCTTAAAATTTAGTCATTTTTAATTGCAGGTTTCAATTTTAAATTATTGTCAATTGAATACCTGGTTGTCAAAAACCTCAACTAACTTTTTTATTTTTTATATAAGTATGTGAACTATGATATTATTATTATTTGTAATTTATATTTCATATACTTATAATAAAAAATATTAAATGATAGTAAAATTAACTTGATGGTGATAATTAATTCATATAAGCTACTTATGCAAAAGTTTAATAAATTTATTTCAAATACAAAAATAAAAATAAAAATGACTTGAAAATGAATTTTAATATATATACAATTTAAATATTATTTTGTTTGATAGTTTTAATATGTAATAAAAATAAAAAAATATTGTTTAAATTCAATTTTCATTTTCCTATCACATATTTAATTTATTAATAAATATAATATTTAAATTATATACTTTTTAAATTTCAATTTTCAAGTTTTGAACTGTAAAATAAAAATTATTATACTTTAGTATAAATATTGTAATTTATACGGATTAATGTCCTCATTCAAGCAATTTTACTAAAAATATTTAGTATTTTTTTTATTATAAGCATGTCAGATATAAATTATAAATAATACTATTTTGAATTGATTCACATAATTATACTAAAAAATAAAATTAGTTGAATGTTGAAGTTAAAGTCTAAAATATAAAATTGAGTCTGTAGAAGAAAATAACTCAAAATTGGAACTAATATTCAAATATTAATTTTAAATAATTTCAGGGGGTGAAGTAATGAAACTGTAGCCTTACCCAATAACTATCCACCTTTAAATTTCCCAAATTTCTCGAAAAATACAACTCATTGAACAAGCTCTCTCAGAAGCTTTGAACTACAGACATTCAAAGCTCAAAACACATTTTGACCCGCAGACTGTTCCGACCAGGCCCGACCGATCCAGCATGGAGCTGCCGGAGATGGAATCCATGGCCTCGGCCATCGGAGTCTCGGTCCCCGTCCTCCGCTTCTTGCTGTGCTTCGTGGCGACCATCCCGGTGAGCTTCTTCCACCGGCTCGTCCCCGGCGGACCCGCCGCGCGCCACCTCTACGCCGCTGCCACCGGGGCAATTCTTTCGTACCTGTCTTTTGGGTTCTCGTCGAATTTGCATTTCCTCGTGCCGATGGTCTTGGGCTACGCGTCGATGGTGATTTGCAGAAAGTACTGTGGGATTGTTACTTTCTTCCTGGCGTTTGGATACCTGATTGGATGGTGCGTTTTTGCTTTTTTTTCTTTGTTTGGATTTTTCTTATGTTTGGTGAGTCTTGTTCTTTATTTTGGATTTAATTTTGGATTTGTTTGTTTGCTGCGATTGTTCTGTTAGGATATCTGTAAAGCTTCATTCTTGATTTGTTTTGGTTCAATATTTCGCAATTTCATGTAATTACTGATGTTTTTCTTCGAATGAGGAAAGAAGGAATACAGCGAAAGTGCAGATGTTTTGTCAAGTAAGGAAACTACAGAGATTTTCTTTTTTTTTTTGTGGCTTTCCATAGTAGTTGAAGCAGAACAAAGAGTTTGGAAACTGATATGGATTGTTCGTGACTTCGTGTTTGTGTAATTTATTTGTAGTTTTTATACGAATTTTCAAACAATAAGAGAGAGATATAACCTCTTGGACTTACTAGGAACTAGCATCTGAACTTTTTTCCTTTTTCAGGTTGTAGTATTTTCCTAATTCCTTTAATTTGGTAGCAGTGATTGTCAGGACCCCATACTGATAATTTGACCTACATTCGTTATCTTCCATTTTTTGTGGAGTTTGAAATTGGATTAATTGTCTTATGGCATTAGATTGTTTAATTTTTTTTTTTGTTCCACCGCAAAATCATGTCCCGTGCTAATGTCACACTGCTAGATTATGTGTTTACAGTGGAAATTATTTTGATTGTTGGTATACATGTGTAGCCATGTATACTACATGAGTGGAGATGCATGGAAGGAAGGAGGTATAGATGCTACAGGTACCATTTCATTCTCTGTAATTGCCGTTTTTTTTCTTCTTCTCTTTTAAATTTAATTATATTAGATTATGTAGTTGTCCATAAATAATGTTTATTTGCCCTAGGATTTTGTGTAGGTCATGAGGGGAATGTATTTTCAAGTACGTAGTTATTATGCTTTGGCAAGCACATTTTGTGCATATGGTTACTATTGTTGATTCATATTCAACTATCCAATACCTACTTTTAGGAAGATCAAAATAAGAGAGCTCCTGCAGTATGCAACAGTATACATTTGGCCCCAAACATAACCTTTTATGTGTGCATATGAATTAATGGGAACACATGCATTTTTACATTACAACTGTGTGTAACTTTGTCTTTATGCACGTGGCAATTACGGTTCTAAATCATGTCTTTTCATTTTTGTAAGCGTTCAGATGGTTCATCAATTTTCGCTACTGTTAGTTGATTACTTAGTTGCTACCTGTACGCAAAAATAACCTGCACCTTTAGAATTTGGTTTTCCAGATTGCAGGCATCTCTGTAATTGAAATACTAATTTCCTTTTTCCTTTTGCAATCCTTTATGTCATTATATGATAAAGAAGAGAAAAAAACCACGAGGGCGGTACCTTGTACCTAAGCAAGTTGGGCAACTCTTAATCTCTATGCACTGAAATCGATAAAATTTATCGATGCTTTCGCCTTTATTATCTTAGCTCATACATTTTGGTTCATTAGAAAGGGTGTGTTTTTTTCTATAAAGTACACAGTATATAGAATTAATTAAAAAAAATCCATTGGGCTTCTATTCACATTTTTCGTGCTCAACCATCTGCAGGAGCTCTGATGGTGATAACACTAAAAATCATATCATGTGTAATTAATTACAACGATGGACTGCTAAAAGAGGATGACCTGCGTGAGGCACAAAAGAAAAATCGGCTGCTCAAATTGCCATCCTTACTTGAGTACACGGGTTACTGTCTCTGCTGTGGTAGCCACTTTGCAGGTCCTGTTTATGAAATGAAAGACTATCTTGAATGGACTGAGAGGAAAGGGGTATTGTATTTATATTCCTTCATCATTCTTCTGCTCATTGTTACCTTACTGCTACTAATTTTGCTCCACTACTAATCCATTGATAGATTTGGCAAGCTACGAAGGATGGATTGCCCCCTTCTCCTTATTGGCCTACTTTCAGGGCTCTTATCCAAGCTGCTCTTTGTATGGGCATTTATTTGTATCTTGTACCCCATTACCCTCTTTCCCGATTTACAGAACCAGTATACCAAGAATACGGATTCTGGAAAAAATTAAGTTACCAGTACATGTCAGGCTTCACTGCTCGTTGGAAGTATTATTTTATTTGGTCCATCTCGGAAGCTTCTATTATTATTTCGGGCCTGGGCTTCAGTGGTTGGATAGATTCAAATCCACCAAAACCCAGGTGGGATCGTGCAAAGAACGTTGATATATTAGGCGTTGAGTTGGCTAAGAGTTCTGTGCAGATACCACTTGTGTGGAATATTCAAGTCAGCACCTGGCTAAGACACTGTAAGTTAATTTTCACCATTAGCTGCTTAATTTTCAAGGGGTAGAGGAGATTAGTTCCGTGTTAGAATTGCTTCTTTAGATATCAAAATTTGACAATCCTGTAAAAGAGATATAAGATTTGTTTCTATCTAACAAGCATTGTTTTGTTCAGACATATATGAGAGGCTGATTCAGAAAGGTAAGAAACCAGGCTTCTTTCAGTTGCTGGCAACTCAAACCGTGAGTGCCGTATGGCATGTAAGTGTGAATTCAGCTGTTCTTCTCACTAAGTCTTGCCCCGTCTTTTGCTTTCTCTGTATTTCACATGAAGGTTTGTTCGCCCCTGTAATGATGTGCATATAATTTCACAAATGAAGTGCAATTGTGTCTCTTTGCATTCCCATGTAATAAATTAGGTACATAAGGTTCGCATACAAGTTTGTTGCTTGGTTTGCAGTAGTTTCCAAGATAACTTGCATTGGTTGTTAACCTATCCACATGACTGTGTTCGATGTAATATAACATGAGTTTAAACAAATGTAGTGCCACATTTCTATAAATATAAGTTAAATGATTCATTTCTACTAAAGATAATTGTGATCAATCATCACATTAAAATGAATTGCATGCGGTAAAGATCTTCCTGGAAAAAACATCAGTATGTCAGAATATTCTCCATCCAGAATCACACTTTATATAAATTTGTACCCCAGATTTCTTAGGAGTGCTCCTTTCTATTATAATTGCACACATCTAATGAAATGAAGCTGGCCAAACTTTGGCCAAACATTACTTAATGTAGTTATTTTTTTGAGTAATCTAGTTCTTGCAGTGTGTCCAGCGAAGTTGACGAACCTCATTCATTCTTCACATCTTCTCCGGCGAGTTAAAAGTTTATCAACACTGTTCTTGTGAATAATTTGTTTTGGGTTACTGTTTAGGTGGAAATGAAATATTTCACACTAGAAAATTTAGTGGTAGTTGCTTATAGGCATACTCTATCTGATTTGCATATCTGTCATATATAGCCAGCAGTCACCTGTTGAAATTGTCTGGCCAATACCAATAGTTTCTTATATTAAGCGGATTCGGGATAAATTTTTTTTTTTTTTTTTGACTACAGGGATTATATCCTGGGTACCTCATATTCTTTGTTCAATCTGCTATAATGATTGCTGGTTCAAGAGGTAAAATCGTAACTGCATGCTGCTAAATAATTTATTGAGATTGTTTTCTGTCTAAATACTCTTTCGGTACCGTGAGCAGCAATCTACAGATGGCAGCAAGCATGCCAAGTGGCTCTACTCAAGAAGCTGCTTGATCTATTGAACTTTGCTTACACGCTTCTTGTTCTCAACTACTCCTGCGTTGGTTTCATGGTTCGTTCTTTCCCTTAAACTTCCAAACTCGACATAGAAATGGAAAAAAAAAATAATAAATAAAATTCTAAATTTTTTCTGAGTGAATAACACATTGTCCCATGAACAGGTACTAAGCCTGCACGAAACATTAACCGCATATGGAAGTGTGTACTACATTGGGACCATTATCCCAGTTGCCTTAATCCTGCTAGGCAACATAATCAAGCCAGCAAGGCCAGCCAAATCGAAAGTTCGGAAAGAAGAATGAGGTCTTTATGAGATTGCGAGTTTGCATCATCATCATCATCATGACATCACCAATAGCTTGGATTGAAAATTGTACGGGAGTAGATTTCTAAATTCCTCTGCATATTTGTGTTTCCTTGTTTAGTTTCGAATAACCGATAATTATAAAGTCGGCTGCACCCATTAAATTGTTGTTAATTATTATTTGCACACGATGTTTTGTTAATCATGTTGATCGTGTAAACACCATTATGTAATTGTATGGTTCCATAAGATCAATAGATCATACATGTGTGAAGACTAAGAAAAGAAGGAAAAAATTGCTCAAAGGCTGAACCAGCTGACATAACCTACTGGGGGCCTATTGGGTTTATGAATTGGTAATTTTTGCACATGTCTGTGGCCTGCTTTTTGGTCGAATCAGTCGATGCCTTTTTTTNCTCAGGAATCCAAGCATTATATGATTGATGATGATAAGGGGACAAAGACAAAATGGGACTCCTAATCCTTCAACTGTTCAGTAGGGAACTTCATATGAATGCATCTATTATTTCTGATTATTAGCTTCTTTAATGTCTGACAGACTTTCTTCTTTCTTCCTCAACGTTCTGCTGCTAAATTAATAACTCAAGATAGGGAATTTGAGTATTTTCATTGGTTTTTCCTAATGTCTGAAATATGTTATGCAGATACATATATTCACTCACACCAGATAAAAGAACTCTTAATTAACAGGCAAATACCATGAATTCATCATTAGTTCTTGTACACCATGGTTTCGTGTTCCTTTCCACGATAAGAAGAGAAAGAACAATCGAAATCGGAAGTATTTTTCGGGCTTTTAGCAGCCCGATTGGCTCAACAATAAACCCTACCATGCAACAAAGTTGCACATTACATGGACCCCAATAAGTTTGTTAGTTGTGTGTCTGGAGACATTTGCTTCAGGAAATGCAGCTGGATAGGCTGACTTTTAAGCCAATTTTTTTCTAAAATAGTGCACAAGTTAATTAGAATACATAATGTGTAAAGAAAACTGTTGTTGTTTCTCAAATTTTATACACTGGGCATGCATGTGCTCAAGCTCCATATTATTGCTCGTTTGGTCCTTCTCTCATTTCCCTCTATGAACTGTCCTAAGCCCCACTCTCTCCTCATCATTTACTCGTTGGATAAGCCACAAATAATTTTTTTTTTTTTTTTTTTAAAAAAAAGGAAAAATAAAGAAAGAAAGTCGTCACGTAAATCGTTTGGTACTAAACGACCTTCGTCCAAATTGCTATTCGCAGAATTTTCAACAGAACACTTACAAGCTAATCAGTCGGCTTCGTTATGGGATATTAGCTAGTTTCTTAGAAAAAAAAAAGGGGAAAATCCCCTTTTTTTCTCTCTTAAGCTGCTTTAATTAGTTCAATAATTGTGCAAGATGTGATTTGAATAAGAAGGGCTTAATTATGATTTCTCAATGTATACCCCGAATAATTTTCAATTTTTTTCCCCACATTTTCTGCCATAAGACGACATTTGCTAGTGTGATGAAAGCTGGTTAAATATGAGCCTATCTGTGAACATGTGATGTTGTGTGAGTTGCCAATACGTCTGGATATTTTGTAGTTTTGTGTGTGGTTTGATTAAAAGCAAGATTATAATGGCAGTGTTAATGTGTTGACAATATTAATTAAGTGATTGTTTTTTTGTCAATTTGTCACTAATTAAAGGTGCATGGAATATTAGAGAGTTAGATCGATGTTAAAGTATCATTATCTTTTAAGGATTAGATGTTAAGCTATCATTATCTATTAGGATTTAGATGCTAAAATTATCAGAATCTACACATCCCACTTCACACCCTAGTGAATACTATTATGAATATGAACTGCCTTGAATTATGTGGCCAATTAAAATTAATCAATGACCAGAAATTCCATAACCATCTTTGAAAAACTTGATGGTTGTTACCATTTGAATACGAAAAGTTCTACTTTTGTCGAGTTGGAAAATGAAAAAAAAAGCCGGTATCTAACAAAGACAACCTATCTAATAACTAGTCATAAATAAACGAATAAAAAAAAGAAAAAAACTCCAATTTAATAAGTATCGTTTTAAAAAGTTGCACAGGAATTAAGAATTTTTTTTTTGCCAATAATAACCCTCATTAATGAGGATAGAGATGAATGTTTTGAGAAAAGATGAAAAGTGAATATGAAATAAATAGTGTATTTATTAGCTAGATGAAAGTATTAATGGAAAATATGTACAAAAGATTCAAAACGTCATTTATTTAGTTAATTGTTGATAAAGCCAAAATGACATTTTAAAAAAATAGGAGGTAGTATTATTTTTTAGATTATGACATTAAAATTTGAAGTGTGCATATCTATTGAAAAAATACAGTTGTTTAACCATTGGATCTGCCTAACAACAACCTTATTNGTGGAAATAGAAATGAGAATTAATATATAAATAAAGATATAACAGAAAAATAAAATTGGAAAGAAGTGACCTGAAATTAATGGTGTTAAGGGAGACAAATACATTTGTAAAGCTGTTCAAAAGATGGGAACTCCACAGGGTGTGTTAACATCAGTGTCTCTCTGGCATTTGTGAAAACTGACCACTAACTAACTTATAATTGTAAATCCCTCCCCTAGACATGTAAAGAGTTGTAAATTAGCAGTTTATTTATTTATTTATTTCCATTTGTACCTATTTTTTTTAATAATAATAATAACAATAATAGTTATTATTATTATTTTTCCTCCCCCAATTAAAAAGTGGCTATTCTCAGAGTGCTTTTCACCAAGGGCAGCCTATCACTATCATTTGAGACCTCTTTTGTCCTTTGCTCGCAGGAGTTCATAACTTCATTTAGTATGCCTATTGACCATTTTCACTTCATTTTTTCCCCTTTTCATTAGTATTTACAAGAAGGGGGAAAAGAAAGCAACACAACTTGAATATTTAGACAAATATTGGTTAGTACATTTTTTTTTTTTTAATGGGTTAGGTGGATGTCTAGGCGCTAGGCGGCACCACAATTTTTGCTTAAACGATTCTTTTAGGAGTTGGATTGGTTAGACGTCGTCTAGGCGGGCCAAATAACTGCAAAATTAGTCACGTCTAATTATATACTAGTACAACACTCGTGTATTATACAGGTGCTTGTTAAAAATTTATTCTTAAATTTTAAAATTAATGAGAAACATTCTTTTAAATTTTATTTACTTTTTTACAAAAATATATATTATCATTCTAACTTGTTACTTGTGCGACTTACATGCGTTATATTATAGTAATTTTTATAACTTATATCATATAGTTACTTGAAATATAAATATATTAATTGATAAATAATTTATTTTTCTAATTAATATTAAAAAATAATTTTATTATTGCTATAAGGATAAATATTTTTTTTATATATATACGATATGGATGTTAAATCGAAGCTCATAAAGATATGATTAATTTGACATATTATATATGTAAAACTGATAAAAAATACAAAAGTTATCTTCTAAAATTCATTAACGATTCAATAGTTATAATAAGAAATGATATTTTAATGTAATTAATACATGTGATATGATCATAAATAATCAACATATTTATAGATAATCCGAACCTAATTATTTTTTGATTGGAAATAAATTATAATCTATCCAAGCCTAATAACGAACCATGTAATTTTGCCACATAGGAACCCAAAGCATGCGAGCCTGCTACTTAGGCTCAACACATTTGGAATTAATATATAGGGGGATTAATATATATATATATATATATATATATTGATATTTTATTTTAAATTATAATAAAATATTTCTTTATGCATAAGCTATATATTAATTATAAAATTAAAAAAATTAAGTTTTAATAAAATAATACAATAGGTATTAATATAACGTATTTAAAAAATATTTATAATTGATCATATTAATTTGTATATTTTGTATAACATAACTTGTAAATTATGTATGAGAATAAATATAAATACATATCTTAACATTTTTATGAGCACGCCTAACCCCGACTAGTCTCCACCTAGCGCTAGGTACCATCTCACCGCCTTGCGAGCACACAGATGACTTTTATAATCTTAAGTTTTAATAAGACAATAATACTGTTGTTAGACATGTCTAATAGTCAGCCAATCATATTTCCTTACAAAATATGCATAATTTCAAATTGAAATGTCATACTCTAAAAAACAACATAAAACAGTATGACCTTTTATAATATAAGTATGTATCTTTATTAAAAAAATATATATAATAAATCAATCCGTCTCACAATTAGGCTAGCTCACACAAATTGTGTAAATCAGTAGTGGTTTTCAGATATGTGCATTGCATATGTAATTAGTGCATTTGTGAACTATATTAAGTGATGATCATGTCTTTGCAACCCTTTTTCCAGTAGTGTCCATTCTCATTTTATTTTATTTTTCCATCATAAAAGAGTGAACCAAAATCATTGAAGAAGGGTTCAATCACCAAACATTCACTCAATTTGAATCACAAAAGCTGGAGACAGTTGCTTCAAGAAAATGGTTCAATGACATTGCCTTTTGGGCTCTTTCTTTTGCCATCTAATTTATGCAATGATTTATAAGTAGAAAAGGATGATAGTCATTTACCATTCAATAGCCACAGGTGTCCATAAGCTATAGGTCATGACTGGGACAAAGGTCCTTTGTAGAAAATGAGTAATTTGTAATTCTAAACCATCACTCACTTTATTTATTTATCATTAGTTAGACTAATCATGGTTTGTAATCTCAAGAAGTTACTAAAAAGAAAATAATTTTGTTGAACTTATAGTTACATACATTCTTGACTTATTATTATATGTTTTTGACAAATTCAACCATTCATTCATATTCCATTAACATTTGGGGTATCTACCTAAGACAAAGTTCAATAAGAATCAAGACTATGTCAAGTGTACACACATATCATTACACTATTGTAAGTAATATAAGTATTCGTTTGGTTATTTGGGTCTTTTTTATTTCTATCATTTTTATATTACTATTATCATTGTTATAAATCTAAATATATTTATTTTTGGTTCTTTTTTCATCCAGTCTAGAATGTAGAAGGTCAAGGGAATAAAGGGATAAGGTGACAGATTCCGATAAATGAATAAAAAGCATATGGGTGTCCCTGAGCTATTATAATTGGGAACTGAAATTATTGAGATATATTAATTAAGCAATGCTTAATTTCTACATGATATTAAATTTTTATAGGGAAGGAAATTAATACGCTTTCGTTGAGCTTGACCTAAATATCCCTTTTTTAACCACCTAACTAAAAACTCTCCACACATCTTAGGTCTTCTTTATTCACTAGGTTTTTATTGACTATCTATGTCTATTTCTATGCTCTTAATTCACTTCAAATTGCGTAGAAACATTGCTTAGCGCCTAAACTT